TTCTCTTGACTCTGCTCACTTTTTGCTGCATCTTTGAGCTCTATGAACAGAAGCAGAATGTCTAAAACAAAAGAAAAAAAATCCCACTCTTCTTAGACTTCTCAGAATTCTCTTAGAGTGCTATGATCAATTCTGGGTGCCACATCTTAGTGGGGACATTGATGAACTGAAACGTGTTAAGAGAATGGAGACTACGAATACTGAGGAGATTCAAAGCCGTATTATGTGAGTAGCAGCTGAAGCAAAAAAACTGGTTATCTTTAGCTTGGAAAAGAGAAGATTTATTCTTATAGAAGAGCTTACAATCATAACACAAGCCCACATTTCTAAGTACTCAAGACCCATAAAAAACTCTCCTCCTAACAGCCCTGTGAGATTCATAGTGCAATGTTGTCCCCACTTTACAAGTAAGGAAACTGAGGGCCAGAGAGATCTACTGATTTACCCAGTCACATGGATAGGAAGTATCAGAGCAGGGACACAAGACTACTCTCTTCAAATATCTGGAAAGCTATTAAGAGCAATGAGATTTTCCACCCATGACTCCAGAGAAGAAAGCTTGAACCACATGAAAGTTACAGAGAAATAGGTTTCAGTTCAATATAAGGAATTGCTAATAATTTTAGTTATATAACAATGGAATGATTTGCTGTTGTAGGTAGTGAAGTTTCCAGTCATTGAGAGTTTGTAAGTAGAGGCTGGCTGACCCTTCAACAAGAATGTTATTTATGTGTCAGAAGTGGACTTGAACACAGGATGTCCTTACTCTGAGGACATCTCTCTATCCAATATTACACATTGTTTCTAATAAAATCACAGAGTATAGTTAATAAAGACAGTGCTGAGTAAAAAATACCTAACTTTAGAGAAAATAGGGATCTAAATCTAAATAAGATGCAAGTCCTTGAAATTTAGTACTCCATCAGTAGAATGGGAAAGGACCACCTTGATGGTGATAATGATGATGATAGTTGACATTTATATGGCACTTATTCTGTACAGGTACTGTACTCAAAGCTTTAGAACTTTTATCATATTTGATTCTTACAACAACCCTGCGAGGAAGTTGCTATTATTATCCTCAGTTTTTACATGTGAAGAAACAAGAGGCAAACAGAGGTTAAGTGACTTGCCTAGGGTCACACAGCTAGTAAGGCTTTGAGACTGGATTTGAACTCAGGGCTTCCTGACTTCAGTCCTTGTGCTATATGCACTGTTTCACCTAGGGGAAATAAAAGTCACCACAATAGCAAAAGAGGCAGCTTGATGATGCACTGCCAGGAGTGCTGAATTTCGAGATAGGAATACCTGATTTCAAAGCCTGCTTCAGACACTCAATTAGTTGCACAGCCCTGGCCAAGTCATTTAAATCCCTCTGCCTCACTTGTAAAATGAAGATATTAATAGCACCTACCTCAGAACGTTGTTGTGAGGATCAAATGAGACAACATATGTAAAAGGGCTTTGCCAAGCTTAAAGTGCTATATGCCACCATCACCCAACATCTTCTCTTGAATGAATGCATAAATGAATGAAAAACATTTATTAAACACTATGTGCCAGGCCCTTTGCTAGTGCACTGGGCTTACAAACAGAAAATCAAAAGTCTCTGTCTTCAAGGAGCTTATGTTCTAGTAATCAGGAGTTCTTAAATTGGGGTCCATGGACTTTGAAGGAATCTGTGGATAGAATTCAGAGGGCACTGTGAGCTTAGATGAGAAAATAATCATATTTACTTATCTTTTACTTAAATATAGCATTGCCTTTAATTATTTAGAAAATGCTATTCAAGAAGGGATCTATTTCTTCATCAGACCACCAACATAAAAAGGCTAAAAACCTCTATAATCAAGCAAGACAACACACATAGAGGAGTGATGGTCAGGGAAGGGTGTTTTGGTTTGGGAAGTCACAGAGGTGGTGAATGGAGCCATAGAACAATCAATTCACTTGTACTTCCAAGTAGTGGTGGTATTGATTGATTACTGTTCCAGAAGGGGGATGTGGAGGAGGGGGAGGAAGAAGGGAAATAAAAATTACTACAGCAGCACTTCTTAAACTGGGGGTGGGGTTGTGAAAAATTTGGCAATAGTAAAAGGTTTCTGAATGTGCAACGACCAAAAATTAATTAAAAATCAAATGTGCAATGAATCTGAGGTGTTTCTGGCAACAGTTGCTTGTGTTGCATCTTGCAACTTCACTGAAGCCTTGGTTCAGAACACAAAGCATTCACACTTTGCACGGTGCATACCCTCAGGCCATGCAACAACGCTGATGCGGCAGAAACAAATTTAAGAAGATCTGGTCTAGAGCGTAGCATGTTGATTCTGGGTTGAATTCCATGTTGAGAACCAGATCTAAGTCTGAGGGTGGAACCAGACAGCATATCATGAAGTTTTTTCCTTTGAAGCTCAGGACAGCTGACTCATCTATTGGTATCTAGGGTCACCACTTACTGTATTAAGGATTCTTCACTCACTTTCTCGAACTGGAAATGTGGTTGTGACCAGTTCCCTCACATTCTGAAGGGCATGCCTGTTCGGCTCTGAATGACTCCAGGTGGCAAAGCTATGGATGTGTTCCAACCAGTTAGTATTTCACTAACATTGGCTCTGTGCAACCCCAAATATCTAACCATCTTGTTTTCTGAAAAAAATGAAAATAGCACAGCTATGGCATCCTTGCTTTCTGATAAAGGGAGGTTATACGGATACGCATGTGTGGAATAAGCATGTTCTACAGTAGATTCAGAGAAGGCCTGAAGCAAAGACTGCCACCTATGTGTTTGTGTGTGGGTCTTGGAGATGGGAGGAATTCCAAAAGGTATCCTGACCAAAAATATCTTATCTACTACACTTAAAATTCCTAACTTAAGGGCTTCTCCTTAAAGAATCATTTTAAAATTATTTAAGGGGAAAGTAGTAACAGGCTAACATATGGCCTCAAGGCTGCAGGTTCTCCACCCCTGGACTAGACTATCTCATTAAAACCACTACGATTCACTGTGACTTAGCAGATAAATCATGCCCTAGAGCACAAGGCAGGTAAGGAGGTTATACCTATATCAATCAACAATCAATCAGGAGAAAGGGAGAACAAGAATTTATTTTGTTGTCCTTCAGTCCTGTCCAGCTCTTTGTGACTCCATTTGAGGTGTTCTTGTTAAAGATCCTGGAGTGGTTTGCCATTTCCTTCTCCAGCTCATTTTTACAGATGAAGAAACTGAGGCAAACAGAGTTAAGTGACTTGCCCAGGCTCACACAGCTAGTAAGTGTCTGAAGCCAGATTTGAATTCAGGAAAAAAGAGTCTTCAAGATTCTAAGCCTGACAGTCTATGCACTGTGCCACCTAGCTGTCCAAGAATTTATTAAGCATCTACTGAATACTAGGTAATGGGCTAAGAGCTTTATGGAATATTATCTTATTTAATCCTCACAACAACTCTGGCAGGTAAGTGATATTATCTTTATTTAAGTTGAAGGAAATTGAGGCAGGCAGACTGACTTGCCCAGGGTCACAAAGCAAGCATGTGAGGCCTAACTGAACTTAGGTCTTCCTGCCTCCAGGCCCATTTCTCTCGCATACCAACTAGCTTCCTCTGTGCTCAACAACTTAAGTATTAAGCACTTAGTCTGTGGCAGGCACTGTGCTAAGCATCCGGATACAAAGAAAAGCAGAAGCAGGGCCTCTGTTCTCATGGAGCTTACATTTTAATGGAGAGCTGGTAAGATATTACAACAGAAAGCCTGAAACAGCCAAACAGAGAGGAGTAGGAGCTGAAACAGAAAAATGACCAGAAAAAAGTAGGCAAGTGAATGAAGAAAGAATGAGCATCAAAGAGAGAAGTTACCAATTTTACAATTTGGCCTAGAGTCCAAATAACCAAACTGGGAATCAGTTATGGAAGTAGTGGACTGGCCCTTTAGCTGTACCATGTACTATGTGAAAATGGATCAGAATATGCAATCTCTCTGTGTTTCAGGCTCCTAAATTGAAAAAAGTATCCAACATAAATGAGGAATAGGCTCCCCACCATGCACACACGTACATATGCACACATGTATACATATTGTTATTGTTGAATAGTTTTTCAGTCATGTCTGACTCTTCATGACCTCATTTGGGGTTTTCTTGGCAAAGATACTGGAATGGTTTGCCATTTCCTTCTCCAGATCATTTTGCAGATAAGGAACTGAGACAAACAGTGTTAAATGACTTGCCCAGGGTCACACAGTTAGTGAGTGTCTGAGGCTGGATTTGAACTCATGAAGAAGAGTCTTCCTAATTCCTGGCCCAGTGCTCTATCCACTACTTCACCTAGCTGCCCCATATATACATATACATAGGTTTAAATATCTATATCTGTATAAAATACATCTATATTTATATATGTATGTTTGTACATACACACAACCATATCTGCATCGATATACTTCAGTGAATCTGTGCTCTTCTCAGTGTGGGTATTCCCTTTACCGTGGCAGGTCGCAATGTATCCATACATTAACCAGTATGATTTTTGTCTTATGATTCCATAAATCCCCTATAACGTATCCACTAATGGTTTTAATTTGCAACTATTATGTATTATATATATATATTATATATGTTCTATATTATATATTGTATAGAAGAGCTCAAGGTACTGTCCAAATTTAAGAGAGAGTTTTCACTTTTTCCATGTGTAAGAAGATTTTTTTGTTAGTTTCTTCTCAAATGAAAAAGAGATAAATATGTAATGCTGGATAAATACCACATTTTTGTGTCAAATACAGCTGCCCTCCTATTTTCTAATTAGATCATAAGCTTCTCAAGAACAGGGTGTGTATCTTAGACCTTTTCTATTTTCTACAGTCACTAACAGAAAAAAAAACAAGTAAAATGATCAATAAATACTTACTGATTTGGATGTGTTAAATTGAAAAGAAGGAACTACTGTCCACTATACTTATCCAAAATCCTTACATCCTTACCTCCTCTTCCCTTTTTTTCGTTTCTAGTTTGATCACTCATGGCTTTGGGACTCCAGCAATATGTGCAGCCCTAAGCACTTTCCAAACTGTCCTTAGTGAAATGCTGAACTACTTGGAAAAACATACGGCACACAAAAACGGTGGAGCAGCGGATTCTGGCCAAGGACATGCCAACTCGGAGAAAGCCCCCCTGCGGAAAACTTCAGAGGCTGCCGTGAAAGAGGGCAAAACAGAAAAGACAGACTAGTTACATCAAACAGAATCTATTTCCAGAGAATCTCGCTGCTGATATTTTTTTCTAATATATATATCATTGAGGGTGACTAATCTTCAGTGGACCAAATCTCTTCCCTCCCTTACCCCTCTAGAAAAAAAAAGGAAATGAAACAAAAAAAAGGACAAAACAAAACAAAACAAAAAAAACTCAACAAAAAAAGGAAAACAGCAGTGTAATCGTGTGATGAAATTGTCACCTTTTTTTTTTAAATTTTATGTTGCGATAAACTCCTTTTGTGCACGTATTTTATTGTTCCAAATTATCCTCATCACAGTTTTAAGCACTTCTGGACTTTGGAGAGGCAACACATGCTTTTTCAGAAGCTAACTGATGCACTTTCTCAACCAAACGTGTAGTTAGGGATCAGGAAGCATGTCCAAAATGGGAACAACCACCACCAGCTTTTACGGCTCCAGCAGTTCTCTTGACTTTAACCTTGTAACAAAAGAGTGCCTCTTTCCACTAAACAAACCAAGCCAGCAATCAATCCATCAATAAATGTTTTGGAAACCTGAAAAAGGAAAGTCATGATGTTTTCTGTCCTGTGTAATAATAGCACATCATCTGAAAGTGTGGTCACCTCCAGCAATCAGTGCCTTGGTGGTATTTTTAAAATTCCAGAGATGTAGGCCCCTTTTACCTCTTGCCCCAAAGTCAGGTTGAGTTTCCAATAGCTTAAGATGAGAATCACACAACATAACACTGAAGTGAGAAGGAGCCTCTGTCTGCCACTACTCACACCTAACAAGTCAAGAAAATGCCCCACAATTCGTAGGTTTGGGGTAAAGGATAAGGATAAGGTAAACTCTCTATACCCATCAGTTAATACACAATGAAGTGAAAAGTTGTAGCAACCCCTTCTCTGGAGGTATTCAGAAATGTGATAGGCAGTAAAGAAACATGCAGAAACAACTGCTAAAAGATAGAGTAATGCAGGTGAAAGAAGTGGCCTCTGAACATCCCTTGGAGCCCAGTAACTTAAGATCATACAGTGAAGATGAGAGCTCATCTCTTTCTAACCTTTGCCCTTCTGTGTCCATCCTTATATTTGAGTTCCAACATTGCAGCAAAGCCTTCATAGGAACAAAAATATTCAGGTCTATGTTCAGAAAAGTGAGAAACACAATGATTGAGAGGCCTTCGGCTTTTAAGATGCTTCCTTTTGTTCCCCCCCCCCACAGCTTGTTCCTAAATCTTCATTGTACTTTAATTAAAACAAACAAAAAAAGAAAACTCAGAATGGTTCCTTAATCAACTCTACACCAAAAGGCACCGGCAGGATCTGTCAGCCAACAGAAAGAAAGTCTGGCCTAGATAAGACTAGGGTTTTTTTTTTTGAAACATCTGATTGATAATATATTAGCCCTTCTACTGTGAACATTTTGTAGACTTCCAGTATAATAAGCATGGAGGACTTCTTTATGTCAACTAATATGTGTATCTATTTCGGTGTATCCAGAATATACATTTAAAAAAAAGTTTAGCCTGAATGCTCACTTCCCTTAAGGACATCTTTTAAGTGGTATAATAATAACTTATATTTAAACACACTTTAAGGTTACAAAGCAACTTGATATATCTCACTTGATTTTCTCAACAATCTTGTCAGGTAGGTAATAAAAGTATTTTAGCCATTTTAAAGATGAAGAAATAGAGTCAGAGAGGTTAAGTGACTTACCTCAGCTATTTAATTAAGGTAAGCCTACAAAGGGAACATTTGATCTTAGCCAAAAATAAGGAATAGACACAGATACCGGAAGACAAGTGTATATTTAATAGAAAAGAAAAGACTTAGAAACATAAATTCATTGACTGTTAGACTCAGAGGGAGCCATTTTACCAAGGGTGGATAGTTAGTGACACAGACAAGGCTCAACTTTGGGAGAGGGGAACATGCATTCCATTAAGCATTTCATAAGTGCCAAGCACCATGCTAATTGATTCACAAATATCAGGGCTTATGATTTCAAGGTCAGAGCCCTTTTCATTCTACTATGCCCAAAGCCCATGTTCCCTCCAAAAGTTCATGCTCTGTTACTACACCCATGGTTCTTGCTATAATCTAGGAAGAAACTGATCAGCATTTTTAACATCAGGGACACACACTAATATTTCTTAAAGCCATTTAGCCTTTTACAATTCAAGTCTTGCATTGAAAATAGACCGTACAACCAAATGACACTTTACATTTCCCAGTTGTCCAAAGGGCCACACGAAGGAGAAGTTTGAAATATAGAAATGCTGAAACAAATTTTGTGTGACTCTGCTGTGTGTCATTCTATCTTGTTCTTTTCCCCATCCTCACTCCCACCTTTTTCTTTAATTTTGTGGCTTGCAAAAACAGTTATGGCTTTAAAAAGAATTATTTTTCCAATTAAATGAAAAAAAGCAAATACGCTCTACTGAAGCCCCAAATTTCCATCCAAGGGTAAAAAAAGACTGTCATTTTTTCCCATGCAGAAAAGGCATTCCTAGAATTTACAATTCCCACATGAAGCAAAAATGATAAATGATTCAGTGTAATAAATGACTATAAAAATACATGTATAATATAGATTACTAAGTATTGCTATATACTTTAATTTCCCCTTCTTGCTAACTCTGTTAAAATTTTATATTATGACATTTAATACACATTTGATATGATAAATACAAAGCAAATGTCTAATAGGTATATCTTGTGTCAAAAATCCACCAATTATATATTAACAAACAACAGATTAATAGATTATACCTGTGTTGGCATATTCTGTCTAATGTTTGCTTTAGTGAACTTTTAGATTGCTGCTCCTATCATATCTCAGCATATCAAAGCACTAAAAAAGTATTAGACTTAGGTACAAAAGAGTAAATATAAATACAGGTCTACCTGCCAGATATTTTCACTGAAAATCTCTAAATAAGGACAGGAGTTGTCAATTACCTCCACAAACCAGCAGGACATGTTATTTGATGAATTTGGGCCATGATGTTTTCAGTCATTCACTTTTTTTTATTATCACATTTTAATAATAATTTTTATTATATTCTCACACTACTATAACCAAAGGATGCTTTAACTCTATAAGTTTTTAGATATTTGATATATCTGACCTGCTTATTCCATTATGCATTTTTAAATTTTATTCGTTAAGGAAATATTATAGCACATTGATTGCTAGTAGACAGGTAGATCTACAAAAAGAAATACACAAATATACACATAGCAGCAGAGGTAAAGGAACAGACTCTGGCACTAGGCTACAAATGTACATTTCATAGAAAAAGAAGGTGATTTAGAAACAAATTAAGATTCTACTTGTAGCCACATTGGACAGTTTTTTAAACGTTTTGGTAAGTAATATAAATACTAAAAAATATTCCCAATGTCAATTATCATTTGCCCATCAAAAAGATATCTAATCATAGTTACATGAACTTAATATAGAAAAATGAATATCACTTCATTTAAATTCCTTATTTCCAAGGTCAGGAAATATTCGTTTGTTACATGCCTATATGTAGCAATATCTATGGTGGTGGCTTATTCTAAGAATACTTCAGAATTCATTGTAGAAATCACTGTCCCAGCTACCCTACATTGACATATTTTGACATGTTTGGTGAAGGAAAAGCAAACCCAGACTTTTAAATTACAAAATACTCATTTGTTCTTGGTTGGGAAAGACCAAGGATCTAGAAAGAGGACCAGTCTATACACCTCCCTTCCTTTCAAATGCCTTTAAAAAAAAATGAAGACAATTTCTCCTGGCATCCTGATTCCTTCTCCTCTTTGCTTCTCCTTTAGGAATAGGTTTTCTTCACCAGCCTGGACTGGGGCTTTTGTCTCATAAGCAGCAGTAAGATTTCTGCTCAAGGTTTGAAACTGACTGTTTGTCACCTGGATATTTGAAGGTCAAATAGTCATGTACATTTGTATTAATAATAATCATTATTATGAATAATTAAATTAATAAAATAATGTTTCCCCAAATTCTTTCCTCCCATTTATTGACTCTTAAAAATCTTTTGAGATAAAAAAAATTCCTGAAATATATTCAACAGATTCAACATTTGCCCATTTGTCTTTCCTTTGTATTTGCTTAAATTTTTTATTGATAAAATTAATTCCTAGAACCCTCAAGGTACTATATTTACTATCAAGTTCACCTACAGATAATAAAACTGCTTATCTCTTCCACAGAGAAAAAAAGCTATATACATATACACATAGATCTGTGTGTGTATAAACACACACATATATATATATATATACATGTGTATATATACATATGTGTGTATATATATCATATTTATATTATATACCTATATCTATCTCCATATTCATGTAGATATGTAGTATAAACACACATATATATGTGTGTGTGTACATATATCATATTTATATTATATACCTATATCTATCTCTATATTCATGTAGGTATGTTTAAGACTAGGTCTCCTTAGATCACCCAAGATGAAGTGCAGGGGTTACTCATAGGGCTAATCCTATTGCTGATTGGAGTAGAAGCTTTGACCTGCTCCATTTCTGACCGAGGCCCATTTAGCACTCCTTAGGCAACCTGGTGGCACCCCTCCTTCACCCCACTCCTGTCCCCAAAGTCTTGCGGTATTGATGCCAAACTTAGTATGGCTACCCAGTGAGTTTAGCTCAGTGCTTCTTAGGAGTACGAAGCTCAATTTTTCTCCAGCCTCAGTCTCAGGCATGACTAGTATGACTATTTTTAAAATAGGTTCTATCAGATATGATTGATGCTTAATAATTTGATCTAGCCACGCATAGAGAATTTCAGGGCTTACTTAGAACTTAGGCAAACCAGTTTTATCTAGAAATCACTTCTTGGCTTTTCCCATAATTTTGCTTCTCTGGAACAGAAAATATTTTGATTGTATCTCAACTCCTTACCACTGATTAGAAAGTGAAGTTCACAAGACCAAGATATTAATGAAAATGAGGAAGCAATAAACCAAAAAAGAAAAAATTAGAGAATATTGAAACAAAATCTGTACTGCCAGACAATGATTATTTCAAACTGGAGTCAGGTTATTTCATGTTTCAGACCTGTTAGCATTATGATCATGACTTTCCTGGGACTATCTCTTGCACATTAAGAGTCCTATGCTTTATTAGAAATTCTACGAGTGTTTTTTAAGGCTTATTGTGAGAAAGTAAGAAATAGCAGAATGAATTTTCCTATATTGACATAGAAAATCTTTAGAAGTTTAATTCCCAGTGTGTAAGTCCTTTGAATAAATTACCGAACAATGGCTATACATACACATACACACACACACATATATAATGTTGTTCATCTTTTGTTTTCAAAGAGGATCAATGACATCATGGAGTAGTCTTGACTTGAGTGTTAAGTGAGGCAGAGTTGCACAAGATCATCAGCCTCACTCTCTTCAGAGTTATTGAAGTCCAGTGGCAAGACAAGAGTCAGGATGACTGGAGATTCCCTGGGATGCAGTGGATGACCTTGGCTCTTTGATGTCTAACCAAACTCTAAGCACTCCATAGCACCTTCTTCAGCTGCCTTCATGGCTATTGATGAGAACAAATTGTTCTCATCCTCCCATTATGCTGGGAAAAGTTTTCACATGTTTCACATGCACATGCCCCTAACTCACTGATGAGTTTGAGATCTATCAGTTACCCTCAACCTGGTTTAGCCCATCTGCTAAGACAGTTGTACTGGAGGGTGGCCTCTGTGCAAGCTTATTGGACCTTCAGGTAAGAGTTAAGTATCTGCCAAAGGTGGATAAGCAGCCCTGAAAAGGATTTGGCAAGCTCTCACAC